CGTGCTCCAGCTGAGTTCCTGGGCCCACCCTCCAACCTCAGGGATGCCCAGCGAGCTGCCCTGGGGGCTCCTGCAGACCAGGACCTGTCTGGATACCGTTTCCAGCAATACCATTACCCCCGGCCCAGCCTTGCTCTGCACAGGCACTGCCAGCCCCTTGCATGTAGTATTTAGTCCTCAGGGCTCCCAAGGTCACCTCAGGTCGTACCCCATGTCCTAGATAGGGAAATCGGCTCAGTGTGTGACCTCCCTGCCCAGTCTCACAGCTAAAGGGTGACATAGTTGGGATTTGAACCCAGAACCCCTCCCCTTCCCTTTTCAGCTAACCAGCTCTCTACCTTATATGTCTGTTGGGTTGGGGGGTCCTTGAGATTCCCTCCCAGATGCCCCCAAGTTTCCATGGCCCTAAGCCTCTGCCCTCTCACCTTACAGAGACCAGCCTGGAAGGTGGTGTCTCCCCAGACCTGGTGTTGGAGCGCTCCCTGGACTACAGCTATGGAGGTGACTTTGTGGCCCTAGACAGGATGGCCAAGTATGAGATCTCTGCCCTAGAGGGGGGTCTGCCCCAGCTCTACCCGCTTCGGCCCTTGCAGGAGGACAAGATGCAATACCTGCAGGTGAGCACAGGGCAGGGGGAGAGGCCACACTTGCAGGTGGGGGGTGTCCTGACCTGCCCAAGCCTCTCCACTAGGAGCTCATCTCACCCTCTGCAGCTGCAGGGGTGGCTGTCACCATCCAAGGCTGGGCTGGCCAAAGGCCACACAACCTGTGTGGGTGGTCCCCAACTGCCAACCCTGTGATCCCTGTCGCCTGCGTTATCTCCTGCGTGCTCAGTGCCCTCAAGGAGCCTCCTCCCCAACCGACCCCAGCTACCCGAACAGTACTGCGTCTGGGCCGCCAAGCCTCACAGCGCCCAGCCAGGCTGTCCTGGCCCGCGGCCTGGTCCCTGACCCACGGAAGGCCCTTCCCCGGGGTGGGGAAGGGTTTGTCCCCGTTTTCCAGGAGGGCAGCTGGGGTAAAAGCCCGCCGCATCCTGACAGGTCCCACCCACGCGGCGCTTCTCCCACGACGACGCGGACGTGTGGGCCGCCGTCCCGCTGCCCGCCTTCCTGCCGCGCTGGGGCTCCGGTGAGGACCTGGCTGCCCTGGCGCACCTGGTGCTGCCCGCTGGGCCCGAGCGGCGCCACGCCAGCCTCCTGGCCTTCACGGAGGACGCGCCCCCATCCCGCCCCCGGCGCCGCTCGGCGGAGAGCCTGCTGTCGCTGCGGCCCCTGGCTCTGGATGGCGGCCCGCGGCGGGCCCGCGACTCGCCGCCTGGCAGCCCCGGCAGCCCGCGCCGCCGCCCCGGGCCCGGTCCCCGCTCCGCCTCGGCCTCGCTGCTGCCAGACGCCTTCGCCCTGACCGCCTTCGAGTGCGAGCCACAGGCCCTGCGCCGCCCGCCTGGACCCTTCCCCGCTGCGCCCGATGGCACCGACCCGGGAGAGGCCCCGATGCCCCCAGGCAGCGCCCAGCGGAGCCCCGGGCCGCGCCCCGCTGCACACGCGCACGGCGGCCCCCTGCGCCCAGGCCTGAGCGCGTCGTGGGGCGAGCCTGGAGGGCTGCGCGCGGCGGGCGGTGGCGGCAGCACCAGCAGCTTCCTGAGCTCGCCCTCTGAGTCCTCGGGGTACGCCACGCTCCACTCGGACTCCCTGGGTTCGGCGTCCTAGGACAGGCGGCGCCTCCCCACAGACGCCAGGCAGGCCGACCCGCTGGTGAGAGGGCGTTGGCCTCGGCGTTTGTCTTCCGGCTCCTCCCAGCTGGCCTTGTCCCGAGGGTGGCAGCTGCCTCAGACTACTGCGCTGGGCATGGCATCTCCGGAGCTGAGTGAGGCCGCCACTGGACAGCTGAGTGATGTTCCAAGTTTGGGCTTGGGTAGTGAGTGACGTGCACGTCCAGCTGCGCCATCACCAGCCCTGGGTAACAGGACTGGGGGAATAGGGAACCCTGAGACATGGCCACCTGGGGACCGAACAGAACCCTGCCTTGGAGGGGCTGAGCTGGAGCCACTGGCTGGCCCAGGCTTTCCACCACACTGCAGTAACTGCCACACCCAGGGAATGCGTGGGTGGGGGATACAGAAGGTCTCTATGCACAGGGGTCTTCAGAAACCCAACAGGCTCTGATCAGGTCCTGTCCTGCCTCAGTTTCCCCATCTGTGATGAGCAGGTGACATTAACTCTCAGGGCTGTTGAAGTCTCTTGGTCATGGACCTTGTCCACTGAGTGGCCCAGGTGTGAGAGGTAGTCTAGGGCCCTCTGCGGCCCCCCGTCCCCCCAGGCTTGAGGCCTCTCACTGTATGACCCCCTGCCCCCTTGGGAACCCACACTCCACCCCAGCTAAGCACAACACACTGCACCACCGACATTGGCACCTCAGCCACCTTGACCACCATTAGTGTCCCTACCCTCATTACTCTGCCATGGTTGCCTGTCCCCACCACATCAGCACTGCTACTCCCACCCCTGTGGCTCCCGCCATGACACTGGCAGGTGCAGGCGGAGAGCACGAGGGCAGCAGGGCCTGGGCTTCCGTTTCCCCACGTCATCCACAGCCTCACTCCCCACCTGTACAGGCCTGGCCAGGAAGGGATCCTGGCAGGGGCTTCCAGGTTCTCAGCTCAAGACCTGGCCCCAGGCAAGCGTCCCACCCCTGGGAGCAATGCATTTCTTTGCCTTCCTCCTGGGCAGACCCCTTACAGGCCTGGACATTGCCATGGGCCCTGCATCTTCCCAGGCTAAGGAGAGCCAGGAAGTTATGACTTTCAGCTGGTGAAATAGGGCAGGTACAAACGCTGTCTCCTTCAGACCCTTACGCCTATACAGTGGCCCTTCAACGTGAAGACGTGAGGCAGTTTCCAAGGTCAGCATAGAGCCTGCCTGTGCCCAATTTCCCCTGGTCTTCAGGTGGCCAAGCCCATCTTGTCACTCTTCAGATAGGGTCCCACTCCCAGAAGCAGCTGCTGGGGTGGGGTGGCGGGCTGCCTAAGTCTGTCTGTGCTTCAGAGGGCCCTCCAGTCCCTGGCTGTGGGGTAACTGGGGGTATGAGCTGGCCACAGGTGAGCAAGGCAGGGAAGTGCAATCCAGCCCTGGCTGCAAGAGGGGCCATCTGTGGCCAATGCTGCTGTGCCTTCAAGGACTAACGTCATTTAGGGGCAGAGGTCACCAGCTAGCCATCATCTCCTCCATCTGGGGGTCATCTGTCCACGTGTCCCCTTAGGTTTTCACTCATTTGTCACTTTAGGTTTTTGCTCTGTGTTTCATATCCAACGGCAATACTTGCAGGAGGACAGAGTCCTCCAAATCGCTCCAGTCCTACAGTTTTTACAAAAATAAGGGGAGGACCCCAGATGGAGGACCCTGGGCCCGGAGCTCTCCCCCACACTCTGTCCAGCCTCCAGGCCTGTTTGCTGCGTTTCTAAGGAACTTGATCCTGGCTAACTGGGGAGGGAGCTGTCTTCATAGCACACCCACAGCCAGGGATTCCTCTGTAGTTTTTTGACAATTGAGTATTTCTCTTCTGTACAGGACCCAATAAAAACTTCCTTACAATTTGCACCTGGCATTCCAAGGCTGCTTTCATGAAAAACTCTTCTAACCTCACAGCAGGGCTGGCCAGCTGCCCCTGAAAATATTCCTCTGGAACCTGAGTTCCTCTGGTAATACGCTGTTTTGGGTGGTTGGACTTGCTCTGTCTTCTGGCAAATGCTGAAGTCCCTTTAGCGAGTGAGGAGTGAGATGGTCCTGGAGGAGCCACAGGATGAGGCAGAAAAGCCCTGTTAGCCCAGGTGGCAGCCCTTGCCCCAGGAATGGCACCTGGGGCTGCCAGTCACCGTGAGCTTGATTGAAGAGAGTGAACAGAGCAGGGCGATGGGAGCTGGGCCTAAGCCTCCTGGGACCAGTTGAGTCCCTGTTCCTCTCGTGGCCCCTCTGGAATTTGGAGGAAGAACCTTTGGGTCTGCAGTGCAACACCGCCACCCGGTGGACGGGAGAGGGATTTGTCCTGACCGCTCCCTGCCCCACTCCACACCGCGGGAAGCGCAGACCCGAGAGCCCACCCTGGACGGTGACAGCCAGGACCCCTACCCTTGCCCCAGCTCCAGCGAGCCCGCTAGGCGCGATCTTCTGAAGCAACGTGGGTCCTTTTCCACGCGTTTGGACCAGGGCGAGTTTAGCGCACCTGCAGGCCAGGGCTGCCCAAAAAGAGAAGAGCTGTAGAAAGTTATTTACGGTTCAAAAAGATACACCTAAGTAGGCATCGCAGGGGTGGGAGACATTAGACCCCTGGTGTCCTCTTGATACCCACTTCACAGATTCGCGCTGGTTTTATTATTATGAATTACAAGCTGTCGGGAGGACGTGCCGGGATCTCTGACCCCACAACCCAAACTGCCCCTCAATGGCCCGGATTCCTGGGCCAGAAGCCCAGGGGAAGAAAATCTGACTTCAGAGCCTCCCACTCCCTAAGTCCGAACGCAGCAATAACCTCATTTATCGACCAGTCAAGTAGCGCCGCGCGCTCCGAGGGCTGTACTGGGTTTGGATTCTCCGGCAGCCCTAGGGATCTGGAGCTGCAGGGTCTGGGCCCGGAATGTGGGCCAGGGTCTTTGTGGGGCGGAAGGCCTGCCCCTCTCCCACGAGAGGCACCGGGTTCACTTTTGCAGCCCTCAAGCTGGCGCCACCAACCGAGGAACCGCGTGGGGCGGGGCGTCCGGGCGGGCTGTGCATCTTGTCGGAGGCGGGGTTTTCTGAGAAATGCGAGCTTCGGAGAAGGCGCCAGCCGGGTGGGCAGCGCCGCTGGCGGAGGAGGTCGTTGGAAGCCAAGAGGGTTCCGGATCGAGGGAGGCTGGGGTCCCCTCGCCGGCGGGGCGGGGCCAGGCGCTCTTTGTGCCGGTGGGAACCGGGCGCCCGCAGTCCGCTGAATGGGCCGGGGCGGGGCAGCGATTCTCCTCGCTGCGAGGGGTCCCCTCTGCACTGCTGCCAACTGCGACCTTCCCACCGCGGCGCGGCAGCCGAGCGGGGGTGGGGCGGGAGGGCTACCCGTCAGGGGCCCCTTGGAAAGAGGCGCAGCCCAGGACACCCCCTCCCACTCCCTCCGGAGGATGGGTCGAGAGTGAGCGGTCCGGCATGTGTAGATGGAACTGGAGTGGGGGTGGATTATGTGCAGACCCAGTCCTGCAGGGCTCGGGGTACTTCCCTGCGCTGGCGGGTGCGCGGTCCTCTCCAAGCCACCCCCGCCCCAGGACCAGAATGGACAACTAGGGGCTCCCGGCAGTCACTGTGGGCGTGTTCAAAATAGTCCCTGTGTCCCCAGACCAGATAGGGAGCGCCTTCAGTCCCCGCCATCCTGGGGCTTCACCAGGGCCGCCACACGCGCAGGCCCAGCCCGGGGCTCTCGGCGCAGCGACTCGACGCTGGCTGCGGCGGGGGGACGCTGGAGAATGAGCCGGGGAGACTTCCGGAGGGAAGCGGGGGAGGTGGTGGGGACCGCGAGCCGCCGGCAGCCGGAGCAGGAGCCCAGACCGCGGGGGTGCAGGGGCCGCACAGCCCGGGCGCCTCCCGGCCGGGCCCGGCGCTGTCCATGGTGCTGCCGATGGCGCGCTCGGGCACCAGGGGGCAGCGCAGGCCGCCGCCGCCCTCATCTCCGCGCCGAACGAACTGGCTCACGCCGGGCAGGCAGCTGCGGAAGCCCGACGGGTGCTCGGCTCCGCTGGGCACCGGCCAGAGCCCTGTGGGGAGGAGCGGACGGGAGAAACAGGGAGGGGAGGGGAGAGAGGGAGGGGAGGAGGGGGAGAGAGGAGGGAGGAGAGAGGAAAGGAGGGAGGGGAAAGGAGGGAAGAAGCGTGTTGGGGAGGGGAAGAGGAGGGCAGAGAGGTGAGACGACCCGAATGTCTCCCCGGGGTCCAGACCTCCTACCACCCGGATCCCAATCGCAAAGCCAGCCCGAATTTTACTGCTCCTCCCTCTACCCCCGTCGAGCTGGGGCCCCCTCACCAGCTGCCCACCTGCCTCCAAGCTGTCCTCTTCACTCGACCCTTTATTATTTATTTATTTTTGAGACGGGGGTCTTGCTGTCTTGCTATGTTGCCCAGGCTGGTCTCAAAAGCCCAGGCTCAAGCGATCCTTGAGGAATCCCTCCTTATTTGGCCTTGTGCATCCCTGGCTCTGATCCCACACGCCTCCCCCTCCTCCCTCCAGCCCAGGTCTGTACCTTGCAAGGAATTCTGAAGACTTTTCATGTACTTCACGCTCAACTCCAGGATGTCGGCCTTCTCCAACTTGCGCTTCTGGATCTACCCGACCATGGAAACGGCTCTTAGGCCGGCCGCCCGAGGTGAAGACAGAGGTTGGGATGGTATCACCCACCCCCCACCCTGCCTGAGTCTCACCTGGTGCGAGTAGTGTTTCTCCAGCAGCGATTTGAGCTGCTCCAGCGACACGTTGATGCGTGCCCGGCGCTTCTTCTCCATCAGCGGCTTGGAGATCTACAGATGAATGGCCTTTAGAGTGTGGGACTGCCACCCTCCTGCCCTCTGCCCCTGCTGCCCGGGAAGGGTGCCTGTCCCTCACCCCTCAAGACCTCAGACCTTTCGGAAGCCGCTGGGGAGGCTGCCCCGGGTGGCAGGCTCCGTCCCCATGTTGCTGTCCTCGAACCAGTGGGAGGCAGCGCCGTCTTTATAGGGGACCCTCATTTACATGTCAATGAGACCCTCTGGACTCTGGAAACCCTGAGGAGGAGGGGACCGAGGGGTGAGGCACTGGGAAGCTCCCTGCCTCCTTCCTTCAGCCCCCTCCCATAACCCAGGCTTCCTCTCACTTGAGGACCCCTCCTGCGTCCCGAGGGACCCCCCTTCCCCTTTGTCGGTCTTTTCCTTATCTCTCTGGCCTCCACCACTTCCCAAGCCTGAGGACCCCTGCCATGCCCACCCGCTCCATGCCCATCCTGTCCCAATCCTAGTAAGTTCTCCAGTCCCACTTGCCAAGTCCTTGATACCCTGGAGTGCAAGCATTCTGGGGGTCACCCACTGGGGAGGTACATGGGCCTCGCTGGCCACAAGCTGCCCCACTGACTATGACAGGGTTCTGGGCTTCCTCGGGATTGATGATGCCAAGGCAACGCCTCTCTGTGCACTTCATGCTCTGGCTGTACCCACAACACCGCATTAGTTGCCCTAATGTCAGGACAATGCAGCAATTTTCTGCCTGTGGCTGCTCAAAGCCGGGCGCAAGCCTAGCCTGCAGGGGCCACGCAGCAACATGTGTCCCATTAAAGCATGCAGTCCGCCCACGGGGCCACAGCTGGCCTCAACCTTGCTGGGGCCTCGGGACCGGGAGGGGTTCTGGTGGGGGTGCAGCCTGGGTCCCGAGTTCTCTGACACTGCTAGGATCCAACCCAGATTTCCCACAGGAGGCAGGTGGGGTGAACCCAGCTGCCTCCAGGCTGGGCGGCTCCGCTGTTGGACCCTGTCCCCATGGAGAAGCACTGGGAGTCTACTCCCATGAGCCTGCTCTCAGCCCCACGAACAGGTGGTGGTGGCAGGCACTGACATTCTGGAAAGAGCTTCAGGCCACACTTCAAGAGGTCCAGGGCCCACATCCCATGCATTATTCAGGCCATGGGGACCCACTGGAGGAGCCCAGTGGAGGCGGCCCCAGGAGCACTTGCCCCAGGACAGGCTAGGTCCTACAGCAAGACTCTGGGGCCATCCCCCTTGTTGGTCCCCAGGAGGCTGGACTCTGGTCGCTGTGATGGACAGGAAGGCTGACCTCCAGGAACTCCCTGGGTTCAAACCTAGACACCTCCTGTGGGCCATGATCGCCTTAGTTTTGGAGCTTATAAAATGATGTTATGAACAATTCGGCCCCCATTGCTTCTGAGGGTGACAGGGAAGTCGCAAAAGTTCTGCAGCTGAGCCCTGTGGCAGAGGATTGAACAAACTGGCTTCTGTGTAGGGACTTAAGGTGAGCCCCCCAGCTCTATCAAGCCGAGGCATCTCCCCCCAGCCCGCCCCCGCCTACCCTTCCCAAGATAGCAGCGTTCCCAGGCGCCAAGCAGCGTGGAGAATCGCGCCCCGCCCACCCCCTTTCAGGCCAAGGCAGCGGCAACAGCAGCTATGAGCGCTCTCCAGCCCCGGCCGCAGGGCCTGCGGGCCAGATCCTGGCCGACCCGGGCTTGGGAGGGCGGCGGGGGCCGAGGCCAGGCGGCAGGCGCTGGCACGCGCCGGGCAGCTTTGAAGCGCCAGGGCCAGCCGGGCCGGGGCGTCCTCGGTGCGACTGGTTTCGAGCTTGGGGCGGTGGCGGCGCGGTACAAAGGCGCCGCGGAGTGGGCGGGCGGCACGGCGGGGCACAAAGGGGGCAGCCAAGTGTTAAGGGCATTGTGCGGGCCCCACAAAGCGGCTCCCGCGCCCGCCCCCTCGGGGCCAAACTCCGGGCGCCCTGCCGGGAGTGGGCTTCCAGCTGCTGCACATCTGCACCGAGGTCTGGCGCGCGCCGCGCCCCGGCGGGCCTCCCCCTCCCTGCGTTCTCGAGCTGCGCGGGCAGCGGGGCAATTTGTCCTCTAATTACAATCCCTCCCGGTAAACCGCCGCCCGCGCCTTTCAACCCGGGTGCATTAGCAAACCAATGGCCCTCCGCGCAGCTCTCGCGGCCCGCAGCTGGGTGCCGGGCCCGCCCCGTCTTCTGAGTCCCGGCCGCCATAAAGGGGACCTCAGGCTGCTCCCACCCGAAGCCCGACACCCGCCCTTCCCAGGGCCACCACCCCGCCCAAGCCGGTGCCCTGGGATCTCAGTCGCGCTGGGTGGGGCCGCTCACGTGGATGGCTTAGTGTTTCTTAAGCAGTGGAAAATTGACCGCAAAATGTGCTAATTCGCAATGTTCTGCTTTGGCTGTGGGAGGCGAGGCCCGCCTTAAGGCCTGGGCGGAATTCTCAGGCGTCGCTCCGCCCTGGTCCACTGAATGGACCTCCGCCTCCGCAGCCCCCTACTCCAATCCCCGCACTGCCCGTGGCGCCCCCTGTCCTGTGGCCCGTTTTCGGGCAGGGGTCTCCCCACCTTGAATGATCCTCCTCCTTTCTGGCGCTCCCACCCCGTGGCTCCTCCATTACAGCCTCCTTGGCCTGCTACTCGCCTTACACTGGCTGACGGTCGTGTAGGATCAAGGTGGGGAGAGGTCTTGGTGCAATTTCCACCCGCCCCTTTTCCCAGCTCTGAGCCAGGTTTCTCCCTACCATCCCCACCTTACTCCCAGTTCTTGCTCCTCTCTCTGGGCAGCCACTTCCTCTACTAAGTTAAAGTCATTGTGCTTTACCTCTGCAAGGTCATTTTGGGAAAGACAGCAGATTAGCTTCTACAGGGACCCTTCCCCGAAACCCAGGCTAAGGACTTGGGGTCCACCCTCCATCCCAGCCTCCTACTACGATTACAAGCCCTGAGTCTGGACATCCTATCACAGCCTCAGGCAGGCCTGGCTCCAAAGGGGCTCACAGCAACCAGGATGTATTTTCAGAGCTGGAGGGAGAGCGGCAGTGGGTTCACCCTGTCCTCTGAGGGCAAGCAGGACAAAGCGCTCTCCGGCTGCCAGGAAGGGCATGGCCCAACTTAGAAGCGGGGCTTACGCAAGCCAGGATGTAGGCCACCAACTCCCTTTCCATCTTTAGCATCTAGGGTCCCCAAGGCAGCCTGGAAAGGAGCACAGGTCCAGGAGGAGAAGTGGGGAGACCCAGGCCCCCCTCTGCTCATTCAAGGAGAAAAAACTTCCTTCTCTAACTCCTGAGGGTGCTTGGGGCCTCCAAGGCTGCTCAGGGCCCCCCGTCTCATGCGGGGGAATTTAATACAGAAAGTGACAAGTGTCTGTGCCACCCCTTCCCTCATTTGGTTTTGTTGTTGACTTTGACAAAAGAAAGAATATTATGTCAGGTCTGGAACCAAGTGGGGAGAGGTTTTTGGGCCCCAGGACAAGAGCCCTATCTGCGGCCCATCCCAGAGGATAGCGGTGGGTACCCTGTGGCTCCAGGTGGGAGCCCCTTCCATTCTGCACTTCCACGGGCTTGAACCAGTGCTAACTGGTGAGGGCTGCGCAGGCTACTGTGGATGCAGGTGACTGGAGGGAGAAGTCTGCTGTCCCCCTCTGCAGATGCATTTCAAAGTGGAATGAAGTGATTGCTCCTTGTAATTAACTATTGGGACACAGCAAAAGCTTTGAAATGACTCAGCGAATTGTCTCCAGATGTGGTTGGAGAGGCTGCGATTGTTTAACTCTCTTTAGCTGTGTGGGGACTCCCAATAGCCCAGCAGCCAAGGGCCCTTCAGAAGACAAAGGTCGGGATTCCAGTGAGTGCATCAATGCTGACCTGGCCCAGTTCAGGGACAGTGAATTCAGAGCGACCCCCATTGCCCCAGCCTTTTGTGTTTCTCCCCAGCTGGCTCTAATCTTTAAATATTTACCCGGCCCCTTTGTGCACATAGGACTTAAGCACTTTGGGCTCATAAATTACATGTCACTTACCTGTTTTCCAGCCTAGGGAGAGGGAGTTTTCATTCCTTCAGCCTGGAATGGCCAGAGGAGGGGAAAGAAAACTTTTGGAAGACACGGGTTCCCTCCTGGGAAGAGCTGCGACCATACTGGACATACTGGACAGGTCCTTCCCTGCGGCCCTCCCGGCCTCAATGTGGACAGGGGACAGGGCAGAGGACCTGTGAATGACTGGGAGCTTCAGGGAACCAACTCTCTAAAAATGACCAACCTTACCGGGCGCGGTGGCTCACACCTGTAATCCCAGCACTTTGGGAGTCCAAGGCTGGCAGATCATGAGGTCAGGTGTTCGAGATCAGCCTGGCCAACATGGTGAAACCCCGTCTCTACTAAAAATACAAAAATTAGCTGGATGTGGTGGCAGGCGCCTGTAATTCCAGCTACTCAGGAGGCTGAGACAGGAGAATCACTAGAACCCAGGAGGCAGAGGTTGCAGTGAGCCAAGATCACACCACGGCACTCCAACACGGGCGACAGAGTGAGACTCTGGGGGAAAAAAAAAGACCAACCTGAATCCATCATTGAGAAACAGGGAGAGGTGGGTTCCTAGACTTTGTTTCACTCTTGGACAATACTTAGCACAGGAGCAAACTTGTCATGCTGGGAAGCCAGCTTGTGGGCTAAGGTGCCTGCTAGTCCACCAGTAAACCGGGAACCCCTCGCTCCATGCATGCACCTGCCTCCTGCTTGCTGGGAACCATCTCCTTCACCTTCCTACATTCTCTGTTGCTCAATAAAGTAACCTTGTTTAAGAAAATGAAGATGGGCCAGGCGCAGTGGCTCAAGCCTGTAATCCCAGCACTTTGGGAGGCCGAGGCGGGTGGATCACGAGGTCAAGAGTTCGAGACCATCCTGGTCAACATGGTGAAACCCCGTCTCTACTAAAAATACAAAAATTAGCTGGATGTGGTGGTGGGCGCCTGTAATTCCAGTTACTCAGGAGGCTGAGACAGGAGAATCACTAGAACCCAGGAGGCAGAGGTTGCAGTAAGCCAAGATCATGCCATTGCACTCCAGCTTGGGGGTCAGAGTGAGACTCCATCTCTAAAAAAAAAAAAAAGCCAGGCGCAGTGGCTCAAGCCTGTAATCCCAGCACTTTGGGAGGCCGAGGCGGGTGGATCACGAGGTCAAGAGATCGAGACCATCCTGGTCAACATGGTGAAACCCCGTCTCTACTAAAAATACAAAAAATTAGCTGGGCATGGTGGCGTGTGCCTGTAATCCCAGCTACTCAGGAAGCTGAGGCAGGAGAATCGCTTGAACCCGAGAGGCAGAGGTGGCAGTGAGCTGAGATCACACCGCTGCAATCCAGCCTGGGTGACAGAGCGATTGCAATTTTTTTTTGACTCTGTGTCAAAAAAAAAAAAAAAAGAAAAGAAAAGAAAAAAAAAGCCTAATTTCATTTTGGCCAGCAGTTTAACTTAGAAATGGCATAGTGGTTCTCAGGTTTCTCTAAAACAGGAGAGATGCTCACTTGGACCCAGGAAAGAAAGCCACTTCAGCCCATGGGCGAAAGGCAGGTGGGGGAGGGAAGGGGGAGGCTGCAGAGGGACCTTCCTGCATGAGAAAGGGCTCCCTTTGTGTCTGCCTCCAAAGCTCCTAGAACAAAACACATTCAAATGCTTATTTACTAGAAAAGGCAAGCAAGGCATCGCAGGCAAAGCAGTCTCCCTCCCTTTCCTATATGTTTGTAGGTGTGTTGTCCCTAAGCATGGAGGGCTGGGTGCACAGTAGGTCTGTTTGATCAGATTGCTTTCCTCTGGGGCGGGAAAGCAGGTCCCTGCATGGAGTCGGCGTGTCTGTGCATCTCTGAGTGCATGTTTCCCTGTGTCTGTGTGCATGTGACTTTGTTTCTCTGGCTTTAGGCTCTTATGTGCTTAGATCTGCTTACTCTCGTTTCTCCTCCATCACTGTTCTGTGAATCCTGGGCCCTGACACATTCAGCAACTCTAGCAACTTCTGAAAATTCTCCTTCCCTGAACCTGCCCCACTTGGGAGGAGACTGCCCCCGCTTTCTTTCTCCCTTCTTCCAAAATGGAAGCTGGTGAAGAGGGAGGGCCCAAGGGGAGGTGATGGGCAGAGGAGGGAGCACTGCTCGGGTTCTCCAGTCTGGTTACACATTACTTCGGATGGCAACAGGCCCTGGGGGTAAATCAGGGCCGTTATACAATGAGGAGAGCAAATGCCAAGAGCCAGGGGAGGGCTTCCAGGCAGAGTGGTTTTTGGCCCCAGGACCAGCTCACTTCCAGGGCTGAAGTTGCGACAAGTGCCCTCTGGTGGTCCTGAGGTGTCCTGGTGCAGAGGTGGTCCCGAGTCTGGGGGAGGACACAGGAAACTGGTGGCAGTCACAGGAGCTCTTAGTGCCCAGGAACATTCACACCCAGGCCTCCTTCCCATGTGGCACTGCAGCTGGGGGACTTTGTTTTTAAAAACATTAAATCTCGACGGCCACAGTGGCTCACCGCTGGGAGGCCGAGGCAGGCGGATCATCTGAGGTCGGGAGTTCGAGACCAGCCTGATCAATGTGGAGAAATCACATCTCTACTAAAAATACAAAATTAGCCAGGCGTGATGGTGCATGCCTGTAATCCCAACTACTCAGGAGACTGAGGCAGGAAGAATGCCTTGAACCTGGGAATCGGGGGTTGCAGTGAGCCAAGATTTCGCCACTGCACTCCAGCCTGGGCAACAAGAGCAAAACTCCATCTCAAAAAACAAACGAACAAAAAAACCCATTAAATCTCTTTTCAATTCTCATCCACCAGATTTAGCAAGTTTTCTGAGCACTGTTTAAACACAGTCCTGGAGCCAGGCACAGTGGTGCATGCTTATAGTCCCAGTGACTCAAGAGCCTGAGGCAGGGGGATAGTCTGAGCCCAGGGGTTCGAGGCTGCAGTGAGCTATGATCTCGACACTGCATTCCAGCCTGGGCAACAGTGAGGCCCTATCTCAAAAAAATAAATTTATTATTATTATTATTATTATTTTATTTTATTTTTTTTTTTGAGACGGAGTTTCACTATGTTATCCAGGCTGGAGTGCAATGGCACGATCTCGGCTCACCGCAACCTCCGCCTCCTGGGTTCAGGCAATTCTCCTGCCTCAGCCTCCTGAGTAGCTGGGATTACAGGCACGCACCACCATGCCCAGCTAATTTTTTGTATTTTTAGTAGAGACGGGGTTTTACTATGTTGACCAGGGTCGTCTTGATCTCTTTTTTTTTTTTTTTTTGAGACGGAGTTTCGCTCTTGTTACCCAGGCTGGAGTGCAATGGCGTGATCTCGGCTCACCGCAACCTCCGCCTCCTGGGTTCAGGCAATTCTCCTGCCTCAGCCTCCTGAGTAGCTGGGATTACAGGCACGCGCCACCATGCCCAGCTAATTTTTTGTATTTTTAGTAGAGACGGGGTTTCACCATGTTGACCAGGATGGTCTCGATCTCTTGACCTCGTGATCCACCCGCCTCGGCCTCCCAAAGTGCTGGGATTACAGGCTTGAGCCACCGCGCCCGGCCAAAAAAATAAATTAATTATTAATGAAGTAAAATGGGCCAGGTGTGGTGGCTCACGCCTGTAATCCCAGCACTTTGGGAGGCCAAGGCAGGTGGACCACCTGAGGCCAGAGGTTCGAGACCAGCCTGGCCAACATCGTGAAACCCTGTATCTACTAAAAATACAAAAAAATTAGCCAGATGTGGTGGTGCATGTCTGTAGTCCCAGCTACTTGGTAAGCTGAGGCAGGGGAATGCCTTGAACCTGGGAGGTGGAGGTTGCAGTGAGCTGAGATCACTCCATTGCACTCCAGCCTGGCGACAGAATGAGACTTTGTCTCAAAAAATAAAAATAAAATAATGAAATAAAATAAGATGGTACTGGGCTTTACAGTAAAATTACCAATCTGGTGGAGGTTGCCAGATAAATCAGGTCCCCACTGTACAGAAAACAGAGGCGCATAGAATGGATTTGCCAAGTTCACAAAGCTAGGTTGCAGAGGGTGGGCTCCAGGCCAGGCTCTCTATCCAGCTTCCCAGATACCAGAGCTCCTGCCAGGACCTGCAGGGACAAGAGTCAAGAGGTGAGGGGCTCAGATGCAGGGCTCACAGACTGCCTGCCTCATGCTCACTGACCCACCATTGGTGCCAGCCTCCCCAAGGGCCTGTCCCCATCCCTTCTCAGCCTTGCTCCCTCCCGCCTCCGTGTCTTTCAAACTCCGAGCCCTCACTCCCTCCTTGATCTCATTTCCAATGGAGGGCAGGCTGTCCATCCCCGAGGGCCCCAAGGCCTAGCTCTGGTGTTTGTTCCTTGCAGCCTCCTCGCCCTGCCGCCCTCCAAGATGAGGGCCTCCCCTGGGGTCCCTCTCTGCTCCCCATCCTTGCTTTGCTCCCGCCCCACTCCCACCCCTGCAGAGTTTATTCTGGGTTGTTAGTTCACTTACTGGCTTTTCTCCTCCAGCATGGCTCTCTGAGCTACCTGAGGTGAGAGCATTTACTATTTAAAACGTAAAGAACAACTTCCGATTATAAAAGCAATGTATGGGCCAGACGCAGTGGCTCACGCCTGTAATCCCAGCACTTTGGGAGACCGAGCCGGGTGGATCACTGAGGTCAGGAGTTCGAAACTAGTCTGGCCAACATGGTGAAAAACCATCTCTACTAAAAATACAAAAAAAATTAGGGGCTATGGTGGTAGGCTCCTGTAATCCCAGCTACTTGGGAGGCTGAGGCAGGAGAATTTCTTGAATCCGGGAGGCAGCACAGGTTGCAGTGAGCCGAGATTGCCTGGGCAATAAGAGCAAAACTCCGTTTGAAAAAAAAAAAGTATGTTCACCGTAGGCAGGATGGAAACTGCAAAAACACATAAAGACAATAAAAATCATCCAGAGTGCTACCACCTGTAGATAGACCAGAGGTGGTGGCTCATACCTGTAATTCCAGTGCTTTGGGAGGCTGAGAGAGAGGAGGATCGCTTCAGGAGTTACAGGCTGCCACACTCTGGCCTCAGATACAGAGTGAGACCCTGTCTCAAAAAAAAGTACATATGTAGTCGCCAGTGTGTCATTTTGGCTTATAGCTCGATCATTTTCCCAGGCTCTCCTGCCCTTTTCCCCCAGGCGAAGTCAGGATCCACCGAAAAGCTTTGCTTCCTGCTTTTTAAAAACTGAATACATTCTGAGCATTCCCACCACTGCCTAGCCTTGTTCCACAACAGGAATTTAAGCGGGCGGTGGTCGCGTCGCATGCATGCCCAGGTGCCGTTGTCCAGGCCGCTTTCCAGGGACCCGGGGAAGATTCCCGCACTTGGTTGCACCTGGGCGCCCCAGGGCGCCCCAGGGCGTTTGGTTTTCCAGGACCACGCAGGGCCGGAGAGTGTGCGGCCGCTTTCAAACTTTTTTTTTTTTTGAGGCAGAGTCTCACTTTGTCATCCAGGCTGGGTGCAGTGGCGCAATCTCGGCTCGCTGCAACTTCCGTCTCCCGGGTTCAAGCAAATCTCCTGCCTTAGCCCCTCAAGCAGCTGGAATTCCAGGCGTGAGCCACCACGCCCAGCTAATATTTGTATTTTTTCTGTGTGACATTGTCTCAATCTGTTGCCCAAGCTTGAGTGCATGTAATGTTTGTATTTTTAGTAGAGACGGGGTTTCCCCATGTTGGCCATGTTGGTCTCGAACTCCTGACCTCAAATGTTCCGCCCGCCTCGGCCTCCCAAAGTGCTGGGATTACAGGCGTGAGGCACCGCGCCCGGGGCGTTTCAAACTTTAAATTGCTTCTTGGGACAGGAAACTCCTGAGTTTGGGACTAAGTTTGGGCAGAGGCCGGAAGCGACTTCTCCGGCCCCCCCCGCCCGGCGCTAGCCAGTCCCAGAGCCCGACTCAGAGCCCGGCTGTTCCCAAGGGGCGGGGCGGGGCGGGGCGCTCCCGCCAAATTCGGGCCACCAACCCGGCTGACCGGAGTTCTCGCGAGAACTGGCAGGCGGCGCGCGGCTCCGGGCAGCTGCCCTTCCCAGGCCGGCGTCGGCGGCGCAGTGCGCAGGCGCGGCCGGCGCGTTTCCCCGGGCTACAGCCGGCGCCGCCGACCGCTCGTCCACCGCCTTGCGCCATGGCGGGCTGTGCGGCGCGGGCTCCGCCGGGCTCCGAGGCGCGTCTCAGCCTCGCCACCTTCCTGTTAGGCGCCTCGGTGCTCGCGCTGCCGCTACTCACGCGCGCCGGCCTGCAGGGCCGCACCGGGCTGGCGCTCTACGTGGCCGGGCTCAACGCGCTGCTGCTGCTGCTCTATCGGCCGCCGCGCTACCAGGTGCAGGCCGGCGGGGGCCGGCGGGGCAGGTGGGGCGGGTGGGGGTCCGCTCTGCGCGGCGCGTGAGTACCTTTCTCCCCGGGCCCGCGGCGGCCTCCCACGCGCGCGCTTTTCATCCGCAAGTTCAGGTCTCAGGAGGGGACCCTGCCTCTCCGGGCACGGGCGCCCTGTACCCGGGGTGTGGGTGTTAAATTGCAGCTCGTGCAGCTCAGCAAGTGCGCGTGGGGTGGGAGTGAGCGAGCCCGCGAGTGCCTTTATGTAACTTAAGGTGCGGAGACCTACCTGCTGCCCCGTCTCAGGTCAGAGGCCCCGCAGTGACGTGGGTGGGACTGGGCCCACAGGCCCGGGTGCCCTGACCTCATAAACTAGGCTTAAGCTGTTTTCCTATAGCCCTGAAGAATAATCGCGAATAATAATAATAATAATGCAGCTAAAATTTAGGTAGCAGTTAGTCTTAAGTGTTTTTCGTAATCCTTCCCGCAGTCCTGAAAGGTAGGTACTGTTATCTCCCGGGTGTAGATGGGGAAACAAAGCCCAGAGAGGTTAAATAATTTGCCAGGAGGCCACACCGCCAGAGTGGGGTGGTTGCAGAATTTGAACCCAGGACGCCCGCTTCTCCCTCTCAACCTCAGCAAATCGGCCCTGTTTGCTTGCCTGTGGCCTCCCTATCCCGGGAAGGTCAGTAGCCCAGATCTGTACTCTGAGGACTGCGGGTGACAGCTTCTCTTGGGTCCCTTGCAGATAGCCATCCGAGCTTGTTTCCTGGGCTTTGTGTTCGGCTGCGGTGTGCTGCTAAGTTTTAGCCAGTCTTCTTGGACTCACTTTGGCTGGTAAGAAGTCCTTCGGGAATACCGGTTTTCAGGCGAGGGTGGACAGATCAGAGGGTCAGGAATGGCATTTCCTCATCCCTGTCTCATCTGTGACCGGCAGAATGCTGTTCAGGGTTCTCTGGACAAGAAGTCTCCTGGCTGCCCCGTAGTTGCTCACATTTCAGCCCTTGTGATTTCGTGCCTGTGGGTTGATTCTGTATCAGGCAGAAACAGGTCTCCCTGGCACTCCCAAAGGTGCTGTCATCCGCAGCTGTGGTGACAGCATTCAGTTATGTGACCAGCCCTTCCCGGAAGGGGTGCAGGTCCTCGGTGGCGGGCAGGGGCAGGGCTCTGGCTTGTCTTCATAGGCCTTTTTCATCTCTAATTTCTATTAGGTCACATCTAGTGCATCCCCACAGCCATTGTAGGATTTTTCCCTACACTATGATTTCAGTCCCTTGAGCCTTCTAGTCTGACCTGGATATGAACCAGTGGCTTCAAGGTAAAAAGTTTTATCTCCTCTTATCAATATTTTGAGCCATCTAATTCTTCTTTGCTGGAATTATTTCAGTTTTGTTAAATTTTGTATCTGACATACATCACTCCTTTATGTTGCTATCTCCCCCTTTCATGTTTTTTTGTGTGTAGTGTCATTTTTAAAGGACGGAAGGATCCATAATGCCTACATGACCTGCGGGTTGGTTTTACCTGTGACATTCATAAACAGTGCCTTGCCAGGCTTGGTGGCTCACGCCTGTCATCCCAGCAATTTGGGAGGTTGAGGCGGGTGGATCATGAGGTCAGGAGTTCAAGACCGGCCTGGCCAACATAGTGAAAGTACATCTCTACTAAAAATAAAAAAATTAGCCGGGCGTGGTGGCGGGCGCCTGTAATCCTAGCTACTTGGGAGGCTGGAGCAGGAGAATCACTTGAACCTGGGAGGCGGAGCTTGCAGTGAGCCAAGATCACGCCACTGCACTCCAGCCTGAGTGACACAGCGAGACTCTGTCTCACAAATCAAAACAAAACAAAAACAGTCTGTTACAAACTCCACTTTCCTAAAACCTGAGGTAGTAGTTGCTGCAGATGGGTGCCTGTGTCCACTCTCAGACAAGTGAGAACAGGGCCTCATGGAATTAGGGACAGCTCAGGAGACCCACATCTGCACTTATGGCTGACTTGGTTCTCTTATCCCAACTTAACTCTCTTTTTATCTTTAAATAGGTACATGTGCTCCCTGTCATTGTTCCATTATTCTGAATACTTGGTGACAGCAGTCAATAATCCCAAAAGTCTGTCCTTGGATTCCTTTCTCCTGAATCACAGTCTGGAGTATACAGTCGCTGCTCTTTCTTCTTGGATAGAGTTCACACTTGAAAACATTTTTTGGCCAGGTTCGTGTGCCTTATATTCCCCCCTGGAAGGGAGAAGGGTGGCTCCCATTCAGGTTGAGGACAGTGACATTGATTCACCTTTACGGTCTAATCTCCCCCAAGTGATTTTCCTCAGACCTCTATCCTCACTAAGCTATTTATAAAGGATGAGCTCCACTAGTGAATTCTGCTTCTGGATTTTGACTCGAGGACATGTTGACCTTTTACTTTAAAGCTTGCATCACGTAGCGCACCGTGTAATGGGAAGTCACAGCCTTGGGTAGTTGTGATTCTAATTTTACAGTCAGATATTTGCATCTGTTCACTTTCTGTGACTTTAGACGTTTCATGTAAGAGTTTATTAACAAGACCAGGTGTGGTGGCTCATGCCTGTAATTCCATCACTTTGGGAGGCCGAAGCAGGTGGATCACATGAGGTGCAGGTGGATCACATGAGGTCAGGAATTTGAGACCAGCCTGACCAGCATGGTGAAACCCAGTCTCTAATAAAAATACAAAGTTACCTGGGCATGGTGGCGCATGCCTGTAATCTTAGCTACTTGGGAGGCTGAGGCAGGAGAATTGCTTGAACCCAGGAGGTGGAGGTTGCAGTGAGCCGAGATCATGCCATTGTACTCCAGCATGGGCAATGAGAGTGAGACTCCATCTCAAAAAAAAAAAAAAAAAAAAATACGGCAGGCACAAGCATAGCAGTTCACACCTGTAATCCCAAAACTTTGGGAAGCTGAGGCAGGCGGATCATGAGGTCAGGAGATCGAGATCATCCTGGCTAACATGATGAAACGCCATCTCTACTAAAAAAATACAAAAAATTAGCCAAGTATAGTGGTGTGCATCTGTACTCCTAGCTACTTGGGAGGCTGAGGCAGAAGAATTGCTTGAATCAGGGAGGCAGAGGCTGAAGTGAGCCGAGATTGTGCCACTGCACTCCAGCCTGGGTGACAGAGCAAGACTAAATTGAACGTCCCACAGCCAATGAAATGAACTACATATGGCTCTTAGGATTCAGGGTGGAAACCTTGGACCCTTCTTTGCTTCTCTTTGCTGTGCTTGTCCCCAGATGAATGACTGAGCATGTGCCTGGGGGTCAAGAACCAGAGATCCCATCAGCTATAGCAGGAGAGCATCTCTTTACTATGATGCTCTTATTGGCTTGTTGGCATTTTAAAGTAAACCAATGAACAGCACAATGTAGGGGAATGTGTTTTCTTATCATGAAATTGTAATGTGATGACAAGTGCTGATTGCCCACGAGCACATTTTCCGTTTTTTCCTATCTTCGGGAAAATAGGTTAATTTTCAGCAGTTCAGAGGGGAGCTCAGCAGCCCAGTGTTTCACTCCTTGTTTGTCATCGATGCCTCTCTCCCGCAGAACTGAAGCAGATCACCTGGCTCAGCATCACGGGGCTGCTGATGGTGGTCTTTGGAGAATGTCTGAGGAAGGCGGCCATGTTTACAGCTGGCTCCAATTTCAACCACGTGGTGCAGAATGAAAAATCAGATACCCATACTCTGGTGACCAGTGGAGTATATGCTTGGTTCCGGCATCCTTCTTACGTCGGGTGGTTTTACTGGAGTATTGGAACTCAAGTATGGTATCAGATATGACACTGCTTTCCTTTTTTTTTTCCTAACATTTTAAACATTGTGATATAATTCACGTACCATAAAAATCACCATTTCAAAGTATACAGTTAGTGGTTTTCAGTGTATTCACGAGATGGTTGATCTCCTTTAAACAGGTACGTGTTCTCCTTGGCATGTTTCAAGTGATTAAAAAAAGTCAGGAGAACTAATGTAGTCATTAATGGTTTTTATTATGTGCACAAAACCTGGGTATACAAACCCTTGGTGATTCTTGGTGCTGTTAGCTACCTGCTGTATCCCTTCATCCTGTTTCTACCTGTGTTTTGTTTTGTTTTTTTGAGACGGAGTCTCTCACTCTTGTCACCCAGGCTAGAGTGCAATGGCTTGGTCTCGGCTCACTGCAACGTCCGCCTCCAGGGTTCAAGCAATTCTTCTGCCTTAGCCTTCCAAGTAGCTGGGATTACAGGCGCATGCCACCACACCTGGTTAATTTCTGCATTTTTAGTAGAGACGGGGTTTCACTGTGTTGGCCAGGCTGGTCTTGAACTCCTGATCTCATGAGGCTGCCTACCTCAGCCTCCCAAAGTGCTGTGATTATAGGTGTGAGCCTCTGTGCCAGGCTGTTTTTTTTTGTTGTTGTTGTTTTTTTGTTTTTATTTTTTGGTGGAGACAGGGTCTTACTGTGTTGTCCAGGCTGGTCTCAAACTCTTGGCCTTAAAGTGATCCTCCCACCTCAGCCTCCCAAAGTGCTAGCATTATAGGCATGATCCGCTGTGCCTGTCCTCTTCTCTGCCCCTGCAACCTGTTAATAGATCCGAAGCACCCCAGAGGGGCTGAGGACTCTGGACAGAGATGGGGCTTAGGGAAGGGAGTGCCCTTTACCACTCCTGTAGCAGCTTAGCTGGTTTTCATGAGAAATAGATATTAATGAGGCCAAGGTCATGTGTTAGTGAGCTGTGTAAGCTGTGGAGGTTTGTTCTGTCTCAGGCTGAAGAAAAAGCCTTTTTGTTTTTGGAGACATAGTCTTGCCCTGTCACCCAGGCCAGAGTGCAGCAGTGCGATCTCAGCTCACTGCAACCTCTGTCTCCCAAGTAGCTGGGACTATAGGCACGAACCACCATGCCTGACTAATTTTTTATTTTTATTTTTTGTAGAGACAGGGTTTTGGAGTTGCCTAGGGTGATCTTGA